TTGTAACGCAAGAAGATACAGTGGGTGCTGTTATAAGTCACAACACTGTGATATTTGAAGATAGTACAAACTGGATTTCTTTCTCCTTCTCCTCTCTGTATCAGGACTTGGCTATAATGAGCAATAGCTTAGCCCCTGTCTGTGCTGCCTCCCCCTGCCCCCACCCAGTGTTTATGAAAGCAGCAGTTGATTCTCAGAAAAGGCAAAACCATTGGAGCCTGAAGCTCTTTCTAGAAGCCACTGCTTGTCTTCTTGTTCTGTGGAAGTGGATACAGTGGAAATTGGTGTTATGCCGGGCCTCCCCTTGCCAGTGTTGTGTGCAAGCAAATTTTTGTAAGGTTGGAGATCTCTTAGCCAGACTTAGTGTGTGCATGTATGTTTGCAATCCACTGTGATGGACAGCTGCCTTCAGCAAGGAAAGGCTGAGTGTGTGTGTGTGTGTGTGCGCTTATGTGCATGTGTATTTTTGTGCATGTGTGTTGAGAGGGGTGAGTTGTACTGCTAGTATACACAGATAACACCTACTTCTCGGATTTTCCACCAACTTCAAAAGTAGTGGAACCATAGCTCACCGTCCTTATCACTGACCCACACTATTTCCCCCCTGTCCTGCAGTCAGTGGAAGCCTGAATCTCTTGACTTTTTCCCCTTTCTGCCATCCTGTTCATTCTTGGCTTCTGTCTGGCCTCACTTCCTGTACAGTGTTAGATCTGAAGATGGAATCATGTCCTTCCTTGTTTAAAAATCTTTCTGACTTTCCACTTGATGTTCCAGCAGGGATCCCTGACCTTGGATGTCATTAGAATCTGAGAGATCCAGATTGATGGGACCAGAGTCCAAAAGTTGGGTCCCAGGCGATTTGGATGCTCTGTTGGGTTGGCAGCCCATGGCTTACAGGATCAAGCCCTAAAATCTTAACCTAAGATATTAGCCTGGACTGCCACCTCCCCTTTGGGCCCCAGAAAGCATAAGGCTTGGCCACACACCTAGACCTTTCTCTCCTCCCACTCTTCTGCTGGTTAACTTGCACTCATCCTTTAAGGCCCAATGAAATGCCTCCTCCTCCATGAAGCCTTCCTTAACTCTCCCAGGTCATTCACTCATTCACTTTCTCACTCATTCATTCAGCAAACACTCAGTGATTGCAGGTGCCAGGCTTTGAGCTGGGTTTTGTAGACGACTTAGCAGTGAATAAAACAGAAGTGAGGAGTCCCTAGCTAGTGGGGAAGGTAGGGGAGACATGGGCTGGGCGAGGGGAGTCAATGAGGGCTTCCTGGAGGAAGTGACATTTCAGTATGATCTGAAGGATGTGTAGAAGTTAGTTACAAGGAGTGAGGGGTGAGGGAAGGAAAGTCCTTCTGTATGGAGAGAGTGTGTTGGAGGACAGGAGGGGTGAGATCTAAGCTGTAAACAGAGGCTAGATTCCAGCCTGGCTTACTGTTATGTGGCATGTCCCCAGTGGAAGGGAGCTCAGTAGGTATTTGTGGGTAAAATGAAAGGCCTTATCCTGGAGGGTTGGGCCTTCCAGTTGAGAGAGCTAGTGGGGGTGGGGCTGGTAGAAGATATTGGGGTGGAGATCCAATGTCAGGGAACACAGGATGTAATCCCCACTATTACAGAGATACAGAGGTGGTGAGGTGGGTCCTTACTTTAAAGATAAACATGTAAAAAATGTAGGGCCTGTAAGGAATCATTATTTCTATTTCACAGATGTAGATTTGGAGGCACTGACTAGTTAACATGCCCACGGGCATTCAGCTGCTAAGTGGTGGAGCTGGGATTTGAGCCCTGCAGCTCAGCTCCGGAGTCCATGCTTTCAATCACTCCTGGGCAGCCTTGGCATGACCTGCCTCCTGACCGGAGCTGGTGGTTCTTTCACCCTCTGCACAGCCCCACGCCAGGCTCAGGGCGGACTCCTGGGGGTGACTGGAGGCTGAGAGGCCTCAGCAGCCACCTCTCTTGGTGACTGCTGAAGTCTGTGTCACATCCTGGGACTGGAATTTTCAATGATAACGTTCAAGAAGAAAATGGATTTTTGAAGAGGACTTCAGATCCCTTGGAGAGAATGCTCTGTGGCCCTGCCGTGGCTGTGGCATTGCTGCCCTACTTTGGGGACAGGCAGGAGGTGTAGGAGGAAAAGTTAGCAGCCCTTTCCTGAGAGCTGGTTCTGTGTCGCCACTGTTGCTGGCTGGGTTCCCACAGGCTGCAGCTGGGCCCTGTGCTGGCCTGAGTCAGGGAGCACTTTACGTGCTTCTGGCCCCTCCCCCCCAACTTTTTATTAAGAGCTAATTTACACACAGTAAAATGACAAATCTAAATATTCAGCTCAATGGCTTTTTAAAAAAAACCAACCTTTTTATTTTAGCATACTTTTAGTCAGAAAAATATTGCAGAGATAGTAGAGTTCCTGTATACTCTACCCCGAGTTTCCCCTAATGTCCGCGGCTGCGCTATCCTAATATACTTGTCAAAAGTGAGAAACCAGTGTTGGCACACGAGGGTTAATACAGCTCCAGCCTCCGTGTGGATTTTACTCACCTTCCTCACTAATGTCCTATTTCTGTTCCAGGATCCCATGCCGATACCACGTCTCTTCAGGTCTCTGTGGTCTGTGACAGTTTCCTTGTTTTTCATAGCCTTGACAGCTTTGAGGAATACTGCTCAGGCATTTTGTAGGCGGTTCCTCAGTTTGGGTTTCTGTGACGTTTTGCTCATGTTTGCACTGGAGTTAGGGATTTGGGGGAAGTGCCCTTCTCGTGACTTCATATCAGGGGGCATGTGTTCTCCTCAGGATTTATCACTGGTGACCCATGACTTTTTTACAGATCTAAATATAGATCAAGATATAGAACATTTCCAGTTTTCCAGAATGTTACCTCCTACCCCTTTTCCAGTCCACTGTGGGGGTTTCTGTCACTACCAGTTAAATGAACTGAGGAATCATTGGTATGTTCTCTTATTTGTCTGGCTTTTTTTTGGCAAAACATAATGCTTTTGAGATGCAGCCCACTTTGCTTTTTCATTGTTGCCTAGTAGTCCATTGTAGGGATACACAGAATCTATTTGTTCATTCTGCTGTTGATCAGCATATGGGTTGTTTCCACTTTGGGGCTATTATGGATAAACTGCCATGAATATTATTGTGTGGTTCTTTTTTTTTTTAAGATTTTATTTACTTATTTATTTGAGAGAGAGAGAGAGAGATAGCGAGAGAGAGCACAAGCAATGGGGGAGAGGGAGAAGCAGCTTCCCCACTGAGCAAGGAGCCCGAGGCAGGACTGGATCCCAGGACCCTGGGATCATGACCTGAGCCAAAGGCAGACGCTTAACCGACTGAGCCAGCCAGGCGTCCCGTTGTGTGGTTCTTTTTGTGGATATGCCATGCTTCAGTTTTGAGAGTCCAGGTTAGGGGCCTTTAACCTCATCTCTCCAGCTTTCACTTCTGAAGACTTTCTAAAAATGCCCTCATTTGCTCTCTCTACAAATAGATTAGGGAAGAATTAAGTCTCTAAAAGGAACAGAGAAAAAAACTCTTGCTAGGAAACGAACATTCAGTGTGTTAGCAGATCTCTCAGCTCTGGTTCCAAAATATTTCTTTCTTTTTTTTTTTTTTAAGTAATTTTTTTTTAAAGATTTTATTTATTTATTTGTCAGAGAGAGCGAGAGCGAGCGCACAAGCAGGGGGAGCGGCAGACAGAGGGAGAAGCAGGGTCCCTCCCCGCTGAGCAGGGAGCCCGATGCAGGACTCGATCCCAGGACCCCGGGATCATGATCTGAGCCAAAGGCAGTCGCTCAACCAACTGAGCCACCCAGGAGTCCCCCAAAATATTTCTTAAATATGCTTGCTTCCCTGTTTTCCTAGCTCCCACAAGGGACGAAACCCTTGTCTCTCCCCTTCTCCCTGAACTGGTCTTCTCAGTGCTGCACCCCTACCCTCCAGTCCATTCTCCACACGGCAGCCAGAGTGGTCTTTTCACAACACCAATCAATCCTTGACCCTTCACACACCATTAAGGCCCCAGAAGCTTCTGTCTTAGGAGACACTTCCAACTCCCCCTCCTATGCTCCAGACCCTATATGGCATGTAGCTCTGCCTCATCTCCCTCCCCAACAAGCTCTTTCCCATTCATCTTTGCACTGGCCATTCCCTCTGTCTAGAATGCACTTCCCACGGAAATCTGCATGGCATGTTCCATCCCTTCAGTTAGGACTCTGTTTCACTGCCACCTGTGTAGAGAGGCCTTCCCTGACTACCCAGTCACCCAACTTGTGTCTTTTGATTGGGTAAGTTAATCCACTTACTTTAAAAATAATTACTGATAGGCAAAAACGTAGACTGTCTCCATGTAAAAAACTCTTTTCTGACTGTTTTGTAGTTCCTTTTTTCCTCTGGTTGTCTTCCTTTGTGTTTTGATGACTTTTTTATAGTGTTATGTTTTGATTCTTTTCTCCTTATCTTTTGTGTCTCTACTACAGGTTTCTTCTTTGTGATTACCACGAGGCTCACATAAAACATAGTTATGACAGTTCATTTTAAGCTGATGACTAAATTTCTCTCACATACAAAAACGCTACGCTTTTACTCCCCCTGCCCCATTTTGTTATTGATGTCACTATTTACATCTTTTTATAATATGTACCCATGAACAGATTATTTAGCTATAGTTATTTTAAGTACTTTAGTCTTTTAACTTTGATGCCAGCATTAAAAGGGATTTATGCACCACCATTACAGAATTAGGGTATTCTGAATTTTATTGTGTGCTTACCCTTACCAGAGAGTTTTATACATTCATATGTTTTCATGTTCTGCTCAGTGTCCTTTCATTTCAACATGAAGAACTCCCTTTAGCATTTCTCAGAAGACAGGTCTAGTTGTGATGAACTCCCTCAGCTTCTGTTTGTCTAGGAAAGTCTTTCTCTCTCCTTCATTTCTGAAGGACAGCTTTGTCGGGTAAAGTATTGTCTGTTGACAGTTTTGTTTTTCTTTTCCCTTTCAGCACTTTGAATGCATCCTCTCTCTATCTCCTGGCCTTCGTGGGTTTGCTGAGAAATCCTCTCCCAGCCTTATGGGGATTCCCTTGTAGGTGGTGAGTAGCTTTTCTCCTGCTACTTTCAAAATTCTATCTTTGACTTTGGACAGTTTGATTTTAATATGTCTCGTTGACGATCTCCTGATATTCAGCCTGTTGTTCTTTGGATATTATAGTTATGGGTGTTCATTTCCCTCTGGAGATTTGGGAAGTCATCTTTCATGAAATCGGCATTTCTGTGGTGGGTTTGGAGCCTGGGCTCTCCTGGTCTACCTTCTTGCTGCCAGCACCTCAGGCATCTCCTCCTCCACTGCTTTAGATGTGGTTTCCTTTGGTTCTTTCAACACATTTAAAAGAACTGATTTAAAGATTTTGTCCAGCAAGTCCAACACCTGTGCTTCCTCAGGGACCGTTTCCTCAGACATTTTTGTGAGTGTGTGTATGTAAGGGCCATACTTCCTTGTTTATTTGCATGTCTTATGGGTTTTATTGTTGGAAATTGGGCATTCTAAATAACATAATGTGACAACTCCTGAAATCATATTCTCCCTTCTTCCCAGGGTTTGTTGTTTTTTCTGCTTTTGTTACTGTTGTTTATTTGTTTAGTGACTCTCCTAGACTAACTCTATAGTCTCTGTATTTTTTGCTGTTTGTGGCCCCTGAAGCTTCTTCTCAGCTTAGTGGTTACCCCTTGATTGGACAGAGGTTTCCTTGAATGCCCGAACCAGAAAGTCTCCCAGGCTTGGCCAAGGGCTTCTGTATGCATGTTGGGGTGCACTTTCACTACCTAGCCCAGCATCTACAGCGATGCCTTGACCCTCACTTCCTGCTTGCAGGGAGCCTCAAGGTGAGCCAGCGGTGATCACTTAGGGCCTTCTCATCTCATGTCTTTCCTGATCATGCATACAGCCCTCGGTGTGTGCACAGCCTTCTTGTCCAAGCCTTCTGTGGAATTCTCTTTCTCCAGCTTTTCCTTTCAAGTGTTTTGGTCAGCTTGTTGTTTGTCCAAACTTATTTCTCTTTCAGGCAGCTAAAATGGTAAATAATTGCTACTTACTGCTTTTGACAAAAGCTCCTAGGGGGGAAAAAAAAGACTGTTCACACTGGCTGAGCTCTGAGCCAGGTCAAATAAGGATGAGCCTTACAAGTGGGGTTTTCCAGGGGACTTCCAGACAGATCAAGTAATGATGATTCTCTGAGATTGGGGCTCTGGAAAGCTCCAACCCTGTTCTGACTCTACCAGTGGCTGCTGGGCCGCTGGCTTTCCCAGTGATTTGTTAGTGATTTGGGGCCATTAGTTTTCAAGGTTATTATGGGCTGGAGAGCATGGAACAGGACTAGGGCAAGTTAAAATGCCACAAAGCTCACTGTTCTTATCAAGAGTCATTGTTTTTCTTTTTTTCTTTTTTTTTTTTTTAAGATTTTATTTATTTATTCGACAGAGAGAGACAGCGAGAGCAGGAACACAAGCAGGGGGAGAGGGAGAGGGAGAAGCAGGCTCCCCGCTGAACAGAGTCCGATGCGGGGCTCGATCCCAGGACCCTGGGATCATGACCTGAGCTGAAGGCAGCCACTTAACCGACTGAGCCACCCAGGTGCCCCAAGAGTCATTGTTTTTCTTGAAAACAAAACAAAACAAAACAAAACAAAGCACTCCCCCTCCCCCAATTGCTGCAAACTTTTGGTTAATTTCTAACATTCTGAAGTAGTTGATTCTGACAATTTTTGCCAGTGTTCTTATTGCTTTTATGGTAGAGAGGGGTTTTTGGAGAATCTGACTCTGCCATTTTTTTGATGATGTCACTCCTGTGTAGACAAACTTAGGCCTTTTCTTCTTTGTGATATATCTTACAGTTTTTATGCTATTGTTAATTTTCTCTAGCTAAATACCACGATGGATATACTGTAGTTGAACAAAGTTGGGTTTAGTGACTTGTTGCAACAAAGAGAGACCATACTTTATGGAGCTGTGAGGCCCTTATCAGAGGTGTTACAAAGTACTTATTATAGGATTTGCACCTGGGTCAAGTGGTTTTGAGAAGGTTTCAAGGAAGTGGGGCTTTTCTCTGAATTAGATGCTTTCTGGAAGTGAAGGCAAGTATATGATTGCATATTTTAATATATCTTAAGTAGAATGTGGTAGGAATAGAGTGAGATTAAGGCTGTAATTGATAAAGAAGTAGTAGTCACCCTCAGTAGCTAGGGTTGGGGGCAGAGTAGGCTAAATAATGGCTGCCAAAGACTCAGATCATAATCCCTGGAACGTGCGGATGTTCCCTTAGATGGATAACTGGTCTTTGCAGTTGTGCTTAAGTAAAGGATCTTGAGATGGGGAGAATATCCTGGATTATCCAGGTGAGCCCTAAATATAATCACAAATGTTCATATAAAAGAAAGGTAGAGGTTCACACATACCCTCTCTCTGTCTCTGTGTCTCTGTCTTTTTTAGGAGAAGAGGATGTGAAGATAGAGCTGAGAGAGATCTGAAGATGCTGGCACTGAAGATTGGAGAGATGTGGCCATGAGCCAAGGAATGCTAACAGCCACCAGAACCTGAAAGAGGCAAGGGATGGATTCCTTCCTAGAGCCTCTAGAGGGAGCACCGCACTGACCACACCTTGATTTTGGCCCCGTGAGACTGATTTCAGACTTCTGTCCTCCAGAACTGTAAGATAATAAATTTCTGTTGTTTTAAGCCACCAAACTTGTAGTAACTTGTTTTAGCAGCCCTCGAAAACAAATAGAGGGGATGTTTGATCATTTTTATGGTTTGGACAATGTCCTCATTTTTGCCCAAGTTCATGGGTTAGGGGTTGAATTGTGTGCCCCCCAAGTTCATATGTTAAAGTTCTAACCTCCAATACCTTAGAATGTGACCTTATTTGGAAATGGCGTAGTTGTAGATGCAGTTAGTTAAGATGAGGTCAGTGCACTGGGCCCTTAAACCAATATGACTGGTGTCCTAATGAAAAGGGGCAATGTGGACACAGAGATGCACATACGGGGAGAGCACCACGAAGAGGTTGGAGTTATGCTGCCACAAACCCAGGAACTACCAGAAAGTAGGAGACAGGATGGAACAGGCCCTTCCCTTGCGCCTTCAGAGGAAGTGGGTCTTGCAGACACCTTGATCACAGGATTGCCCCCTCCAGAACTGCCAGACAAGAACTTTCTGTTATTCAGTCCATGCAGTTTGTGGTACTTTGTTACGACTTTCCAGCAAATGAATACAGTTCAGAGATGATTACAGAGTGGTCTTGCTTTTGTCTTGCTCAGGCATGGTCACAGGGTAACCTTGTCTGATGTTGATACTCTATGTGATTGTTTATGTTCAACAGGAAAATGGCCGCACCTCGTTGTGAGCACTGGGCCAGCTCTCCCAAATGTCAGGGATGCTTTTCTCTTTCTTACCGCAGAATCTCTCCTCATCTGATAGATGTCCACTTTGTGTTGTCTTTAAGCATTTTAACTAGTTCTTTTTTTTTTTTTTTTAAGATTTTATTTATTTATTTGACAGAGAGAGACACAGCGAGAGAGGGAACAAAAGCAGGGGGAGAAGGAGAGGGAGAAGCAGGCTTCCCGCTGAGCAGAGAGCCTGACGCGGGGCTCGATCCCAGGACCCTGGGACCATGACCTGAGCCGAAGGCAGACGCTTAATGACTGAGTCACCCAGGCGCCCCTATCTAGTTCTTTTTAAAAAACATTTAAATCTTCCATCCAGTTGGCATTTATTCTGGAGTGGGGATGGGGCAGAGTTGTACGGCCTCGAGTAGAGGCCATGATCAAAGGGGCTTGAGGTCCAGACTTGCTGAGGTCTGTATGCACCTGAGTGTTCCACAAGGCTATCTTAGACCAATCCCCTCAAGCTGATTTGTACTTAAACATAACCTCAGAACAATCCTTCAGAGCATTTAGGGAGTAGTTTCTTTTTTTTTTTTTTTTTTAAAGATTTTATTTATTTATTTGAGAGAGAGAATGAGACAGAGAGAGCATGAGAGGGTCAGAGGGAGAAGCAGACTCCCTGCCGAGCAGGGAGCCCGATGTGGGACTCGATCCCGGAACTCCAGGATCATGGCCTGAGCCGAAGGCAGTCGCTTAACCAACTGAGCCACCCAGGTGCCCCTAGGGAGTAGTTTCTTTATCTCTTCCTTGTCATTCTTGATTGAAGGAAAGGTGTCAGCCCCCTTTAGTTAGAACAGGTCGTGGCTGTGAGTGCCTTCTCCCTACAGACATTAATTCGGAAGATAGGCTCATCAGCAGAAAACCCTCCCAGAGCCCCACGTGCCCCGGGCATCTCCTCCATCTATTTGGATAAGTGCAGCTCAGGATCAATTATGGATGAGCCTCTATGGGAGATGAGTAAGTGGGCTGTTGTCTACTTTGAAAAATTAATGGAATCTGATTAACACAAGAGCACACTCCCTCTTCCTTGAGCTGGAGAGGCTCACATCTCCATAGAAGCTGGAGGTGGGGGTGGGAGTGGGGGCAGGAGCCCCTGTGTCTGTGTGGAGTTAGATTTGATTCATGGAGTCATGCTTTGGACTTATCTACCCCCTTGACAGATGAGAATACTGAGGCCCATCAAGGTTAAACAGTTTGCCCAAACAGCAAAGAAGGAAAGACAATAGTCAATTACTGTTCTTTTTAAAATAAATGTTTTTAATATGGAAAATTTAAAACCTATGCAAAGCAGAGAGATAATATCAAGTAGACATTTCAAACTTTTTGGTCTCATTTTACACTCTTAAAATTTTTTGAGGACCTCCAAGAGCTTTTGTTTCTGTGGCTTGCATCCATTGATATTTACTGTATTACCATAAAACCTAGACATTTAAAAATATTAACTCATTTAAAATAATAATCCCATTACATGTCAACACAAATAACTTTTGTCCTTGATAATTTATTTCTATTCTAAGCTTTTAGATGGCAGTTGTACATCATCCATTAGATTTTACTTTATTTTATTTTGTTGTTATTGTGGTAAGATGTATCAAATTTACAGTTTTAACCATTTTTAAGTGTATAGGTCAGTAGCATTAAGTACATTCACATTGTTGTGCAACCATCACCACCGTCCATTTCTAGAACATTTTCATCATCCCATACTAAAACTCTGTCCCCATTAAACACTAATTCCCCATCCCCGCTGTCCCCAACTCCTGGGAACCACCATTCTTCTTTCTGGCTCTAGGAATTTGACGATTTTGGGTGCTCCCAAAGTGGAATCATATGTATTTGTCCTTCTTTGTCCGGCTTACATCACCTAGCGTAGTATCTTCAAGGTTCATCCATGTTGTAGCGTATATCAGGGTTTCCTTCCTTTTTAAGGCTGAATAATATGCCATTATATGTATAGACAGCATATTGTTTATCCATTCATCCATCAATGGACATTTGGGTTGTTTTCACCATTGGGCTGTCGTAAACAGTGCTGCTTACGAACATGGGTGCACAGATCTCTCTTTGAGACCCTGCTTTCAATTTGTTTGTACATACACCAAGAAGTGGAATTGCTGGATCACATGGTAATTCCATGTTTAATTTTTTAGGGATCGACCCTACTGTTTTCCACAGTGGCTGCACCATTTTACATTCCAGTTTCTCCACATCCATGCCAACACTTGTGGTTTTCACTGATAATTTTTTTTTTAAGTAATAGCTGTCCTAATGGCTGTTGAATAACCTTTTAATAAAAAATAAACTATATTTTTCCAAAAAAAATTAATAAGAAGAGAGGCATTGTTTTACATTTTGCAGATCCTTTGAATATCTGGCTTAATAGGCAGCTAGCTGTCTTCTAAGATCTGCTTCTGCATTTAACAGTTGTCCAATCACATGCCATGTAACCTCTGGAAAATTCCACAGTACCCTCATGAGAGAGAGGAAGAAAGGTAAATGACATTGTAGTATTATTAGAAAGATAATTCTGTCTTTGCAGGCCTCAATTTTAATACCAATTCAGGGTCTATCCTTTCATCTCTTCTCCCTCCTGTGCCTCCCCTCCATCAATTTTTTTTTTAAAGATTTTTTATTTTTAAGTAATCCTACACCCAACTTGAGGTTCGAACCCACAACCTTAACCCACAACCCCAACCCACAACTCAAGATCAAGAATCACATGTTCTACCAACTGAGCCAGCCAGATGCCCCTACCCCTTCATCACTTTGAAGCAAATTGGTAACCATCAATTATTACCAGCATCATAGTGGGTGCTTTCTTGGGTTGGCTTCTTAATCCTCGTTACAGATCTACTTTATGAGCACACGTGAATATCTGCTTGTTCACTTGTGGGAACCAGGCTCCAGGGATGTTAGGAAATTTTTCCAAGTTCATGCCTCTGGAAGCTGATGGTACACAGGATGGTGCCCAGGTCAGATCTTTATTACACATTCTCTTAAATTTGACTTCAGACTGTGGGAGTTGTTGGGGCTGCCACTGGCTTGCTTCTTTTTCCCATTGGGACTTTGGGGAAGACCTTCCCTACCTCTGTCTTTCAGAGACATGCGGATGCTCTTTCATAGATCTTCAGGAAGACCTCTGGGCCAGGCCTCATACAGGCTGCTGGGCATGGAGCTGGGTTGGATGCTGCCGTGTGAAGTAATTCTGGTCATTTCTTTGTGCAAGAGCTAAGAAGGCATTTGCCCTCCCCATTTGGAGGCCCAGCCTAGGAGTGGAGGAAAAACAGCAGAAGGACCTAAGCTGGTGGAGTTTGGTATGGTCTGCTCCAGTTTGAACCAGGATACCTCCCCTCACTGAAGAATCACAGAGTTGAGAGAGGATGGGACTCCAAGGTCATATAGTCCTGACTACCTCCCAGGACAACCAGTCTGTGGATGGTACTCTCATTGTTAGAAGCTCAGCTCATGTTGAGTAACCTTCCAGGAACAACCCAGATCTGTGTTATGATGGGAAGAACCCAGATTGGGAGTGGAGATTGCTGGGTATGAGATTAAGGTAGCCATGGGTAAGCCCATCCCCCTCTAAGGGTTTTTCTTTGTTGTGAAGAGAGCTGGTCTCTGGTTCTTTTTACCACTAACATTTTGGTTTATTTTCTGATTTGGCCTCCTTTTCTCCAGAAGTGACCTTCAAGAGCTTGGGAGAGAAGCTCTGGTCCCCTTCAAGTGTGGGCATCACAGTTCCTCTTGGGGCACATTCTCAGCTGCCCATCCATGCACTAACTCTGGAAACACCCTTGTCTTCCCCTGGCTCTCTTGTGGAGTTTGATCCCAGCACAGACCTCTAGGGATTCCAGAAGCTGGATTCCACAGACCCTGCTACATTCCTGAACACCAACAGCTGCTTCATCTACCTTCTGTGACAACCCCCCTCCCCCAACACCAACCTCTGACTTTATAAAAGACTTAGTAACTGAACAATCTATGAGACTTTCCATGCCTTTGCCATATATCCCAATCTATTTTCAAATAGTGAGACCTCTGACAGGAAGAAGAAAGAAAAATAAAGCAGAAGAGAGCTGGGGCTCACACCGCCTCTTTGGTTTGGAAAGGGTTTGGATATGGCTAATCCAGTCCTGGCCTGAGAGTTATTCCAGGCTGGCAGGCTGGACCGCCCATCTCCATGGCAACCGTTGTTATTGGTAACTGAAAAAGCATCTCCAACAACAGACTGGAGTGGCTGCTGATGGTTTTCCCTTCTAGTTGAA